ATCACTTTTACTAACAGTGATGTTATTCTGCAGGATCGAAGTTCGGGACAGACGATTGGCGTCGGATGTGAGTCTCAAGGCCTCTACTACTTCTCTACGTCATCTGCCACATGCTCCACCACAAATTCTCCACTCATTATACATGCGCAGTTAGGTCATCCAAGTCTTCCCAAGCTATAAAAGTTGGTGCCCAGTTTATCTAAATTATCCACTTTACAGTGCGAGTCTTGTCAATTAGGGAAACATACTCGTAGTCACTTTCCTGATCGAGTCAATAAACGGGCTGCGTCTCCTTTTGCTTTAGTTCACTCCGATGTTTGGGGTCCATCGCGTACTGTGTCTACTTTTGAGTCTAGGTATTTTGTAACATTTATTGATGATTTTTCACGTTGCACGTGGCTATTTTTAATGAAAAACAGATCTGAATTATTTTCTATTTTTGAACAATTTTATCGAGAAATAAGAACCCAATTTGGTTTGTCCATTCATACCTTAAGAAGTGACAATGCTCGTGAATATTTATCCCAACAATTTCAAACTTTTATGTCATCCAATGGTATTCTACACCAAACATCTTGTCCTCATACACCTCAACAAAATGGGATAGCCGAACGCAAAAACCGGCATCTCGTAGAAACCACTCGGACTCTACTTCTCCATGGTAATGTCCCTCTCAGATTTTGGGGGGATGCTGTGCTCACAGTGTGTTATCTCATAAATCGCATGCCCTCATCTGTCCTTAATAATAAAATCCCTCATTCCATCTTGTTTCCAAACTCTCCTCTTCATCCAATTCCTCCTCGAGTCTTCGGGTCTACATGTTTTGTGCATAATCTCTCCCCTGGTCTTGATAAACTATCAGCTCGATCACTAAAATGTGTCTTTCTTGGTTATCATCGATCCAAAAAGGATTATCGTTGCTACTCACACACTCTGCAACGATACCTGATATCGGCCGATGTTACCTTCTTCGAGTCTGTGCATATTTTGCGTCCACCCAAGTCACTCCGGAACCCCTTCAGGAAAGTACTCCCACACCTCTTTCGGACGTCCCATTTCCCTTTATTCCCCATCATTCTAGGGAATCTGTCCCACGAGAAACCCCTACGGTTGATCCCCCCACTTCTCGTCCACTTCAAACATATCAGCGTCGTAAACCAACGTCTGTCATACCTGTCCCTGAGGTTGTACATGTCCCTGAGGTCGTACCTGTCCCTGAGGTCATTGCAGACTCTCCTCCGACGCTATCGCCATCACCGGATTCGATCCTACAACCTGAGTCTGATCTTCCGATTGCCCTTCGCAAAGGTATACGTCAAACACGAAATCCTTCTCCACATTATATTGATTTATGTTATCATCGTCTTTCCCCTTTGCAGTATACTTGTTTGTCCTCTTTATCTTCTGTTTCTATTCCTAAATCTCCAGGTGAAGCATTATCTCACCCTGAGTGGAGGCAAGCAATGATTGATGAAATGTGTGCTCTTCAAAGCAGTGGTACCTAGGAACTGGTTCCTCTACCCACTGGAAAATCTTTAGTAGGTTGTCGTTGGCTTTATATAGTGAAGGTTGGTCTAGATGGTAAGATTGATCGTTTTAAAGCTCGCTTGGTAGTCAAGGGATACACTCATATTTTTGGGTTGGATTATAGTGATACCTTCTCGCCTGTAGCCAAGATGGCATCTGTTAGACTTCTTCTAGCCATTGCAGCCATTCGACACTGGCCTCTTCATCAACTTGACATAAAAAATGCATTTTTACATGGTGATCTTGAAGAGGAAGTATATATGGAGCAACCACCTGAGTTTGTTGCTCAGGGGGAGTCATCGAATATGGTTTGTAGGCTACACAGGTCTCTTTACGCTCTTAAGCAATCTCCGAGAGCTTGGTTTGGCAGATTCAGCACTGTAGTACAACAATTTAGTATGGTCCGTAGTGAAGCTGACCATTCTGTCTTTTATCGTCACTCAGTACAAGGGTGTATTTATCTTATTGTGTATGTAGATGATATTGTCATAACTGGTAGTGATGAGTCGGGAATACTCCAGTTGAAACAACATCTTTCAAATCAATTTCAGACAAAGGATCTTGGTAAACTCCGGTATTTCTTGGGTATTGAGGTAGCCCAATCTAAAGATGGTTTGGTGATTTCTCAGCGGAAATATGCTATGGATATTTTGGAAGAAACATGTTTGTTGAACGCTAAACCAGTTGATACTCCTATGGATCCAAGTGTCAAACTACTACCCAATCAGGGGGAGCCTCTATCAGACTCGGGAAGGTATAGGAGATTGGTTGGAAAGTTGAATTATCTCACAGTCACTCGTCCAGACATTTCTTTTGCAGTCAGTGTGGTAAGTCAGTTCTTAAATTCCCCTTGTCAGGAACACATGGATGCTGTTATCCGGATTCTAAGATACATCAAATGTGCTCCAAGAAAAGGTTTAGTGTATGAAGATAAAGGACATACTCAGATAGTTGGATACTCTGATGCTGATTGGGCAGGGTCACCAATTGATAGACGATCCACCTCTGGGTACTGTGTACTTGTTGGAGGAAATCTTATATCCTGGAAAAGTAAGAAACAAAATGTAGTTGCAAGATCAAGCGCCGAGGCAGAGTATAGGGCCATGGCAATGGCAACATGTGAACTCATTTGGTTAAAACAGTTGTTCAAAGAACTTAAAATTGAAGAAGCAAGACCAATGACACTTGTATGTGATAATCAAGCTGCATTGCACATTGCTTCAAATTCAGTCTTCCATGAGAGGACCAAACATATTGAGATAGACTGTCACTTTGTCAGAGAGAAGATCGAATCTGGCGACATCGTCACAAGCTTTGTCAACTCTAATGATCAATTGGCAGATGTGTTTACAAAATCTCTGCGAAGCCCCAGAACTAATTATATATGTGGCAAGCTTGGTGCATTTGACTTATATGCTCCAGCTTGAGGGGGAGTGTTGATATTTGTAAATATATAATGTTAAGAATATTTGTATGTAGAATAGTCCCACATCGATTATATAGTGTAATTAGTTGTAATCTCTCTATATATAATAAAGTCTCCGTAGTGCTTTCATAACACACGGTTTAACCTAAATGTCTCTTAGTCTCTCCTAATTCAATATAGATGATATTGTCATAACTGGTAGTGATAAACAGGGAATACTCCAGTTGAAACATATCTCGAATCAGTTTCAGACAAAAGATTTTGGTAAACTCAGCTACTTCTTGGGAATTGAGGTGGCCCAATCTAAAGATGGTTTGGTGATTTCCTAGCGGAAATATACTATAGATATTTTGGAAGAAACAAGGTTGTTGAATGCTAAATCAACTGATACTTCTATGAATCCAAGTGTCAAACTACTATCCAATCAACGAGAGTCTCTATCTGACCCAGGAAGATATAAGAGATTGGTTGGAAAGTTGAAATTATCTCTCAGTCACTCGTCCGGATATTTCTTTTGCAGGCAGTGTGGTAAGTAGGGGTGAGAATAGGCTTGGTCGAGCTGGGCTTTGCAAAGCCTGAGCCTGACCTGCTAAAAAATTCAAAGCCTAAGCCTAGTCTGTGGTCTATCATAGGCTTATTTTTCAGCCTGAGCCTGACCTTTTCGAAAACCTGGTTATCCTATTAGCCTGCTTAAATAGCCTATATCATTTGATCATATGTAAATAAACAATTCAACTAATGTTTAAATATAGTGCATAATCAAAGTACTATGAGACTAAATATTTGGTTACATTGATTTATTTGAGCTTACATAGTAGCATAAGTTTTGTGAGATTCATCTCTAGGTATTGTGTATTTGTTGGAGGAAACCTTATATCATGGAAAAGTAAGAAATAAAATGTAGTTGCAAGATCAAGCGTCGGGGCAAAGTATAGGATCATGGCAATGACAACATGTGAACTTATTTGGTTAAAAAAATTGCTCAAGGAACTTCAAATTGAAGAAGCAAGACCAATGACACTTATTTCTGATAATCAAATTGCATTGCGTATTGCTTCAAATCCAATCTTTCATTGAGATAGACTGTCACTTTGTTAGAGAGAAGATCGATTTAGGTGACATCACGCCAAACTTTGTCAACTCTAATGATCAATTGACAGATATGTTTACAAATTCCCTGCGAAACTCCATAACCAACTATATATGTAACAAGCTTGGTGCATTTGACTTATATGCTCAAGTTTGAGAGGGAGTGTTGATATTTACATATGTATATATAGAAAGATAATATTCTCTAGAATATTCTTTAGTATATTTTAGAATAGAATAAGATATCTATATAATTAATACTATGATTTGTATTTTTTTCTATATAGAAAGATAATATTCTCTAGAATATTCTTTAGTATATTTTAGAAGAGAATAAGATATCTATATAATTAATACTATGATTTGTATTTTTTTCTATATAATTCATCTTCCGATGTGCGGTTCGACACAAGGTTTAATCTAAATGTCTCTTAGTCTCGCTTATTTCAACAGATGTATTGTTGATGCACGAGATGATATTACTTGAGTCTGACTATTTTTCACTCAAAAATATAAAGGTTTGGTACGAGTATTTATATTCACGAGAGATGTAATTGAAGTAGGAATGTGAACCTAAAGGATAATAACGAATCGATTACTGTCAACATCATAATAATCCCGCTCAAGTAGGTGGCAAAACTAGTTGAACCCGACAGGCCAACCCATTCATTAGGCGGGATGAGTTGATGTTTTAGAGCATACCACTCAAGTTTGTCCATCCAGTCCAGCTTAACCTGCTAAAAATTGGCAGTGGCGGGGAAGATTAGCCCTCTCTTTCTAAAAATAAATAATTATTGACTCAATTATTTCTTTTCAAAATACATTAATCATTTTAGAGTTTCATTTTCTCTAAAGAGAGGTAAATTAGGCTAGATATAATTATTTTATATATGGCTTCTAATCCCTTCTTTAGTCCTTTCCTTTTCCTCTTTATCTTTCTGCGCCGTCCACAAACAGCATGAGCCTGAGCCTTACTAGCCACCTTCCTGCACTGTGCGGCCGCCGTGCTTCCTTCAGAGTTAACAAAAGTAGGATTATAATCAGAAACGCGGCTTATGAGCATTATGCTAACAAGTTTTTGTTGAGAAAAACAAATGTGAGTTGGAAGTGTGAGTTGGAAGTGTTGAGAAATAAGTATGGAGAAGTTCCACATTGATTAGAAAAGTGGAGACTTGAGCATTTATATGGGAGAGAACCCACACACCAATCATTTTAAGATTTTAAATGAGTATGTGGTGTGTCTCTCACAAGGTGTGTTTTTTGCTCATAAATAAAAACCCGTATTCTTTGTTCATAAAGAAAGATCCCAACGTAAAAATGCTCCATCATGTTGACCCTCAAATCGATGACCCAATAAAGTATTGGTTTTTGGTTAAAGCTAGAGCTCACAAAAGACTTATATTGAGTGGCACCCCTCGTCTTACAAGCCGGTTTTGTAAAGATGAGTTAGGTCAAATTCTAATTCTATCATAATATCAAAGCCCTATCGATTCCGGTCACTCACCGTTTATATCCACACACCTTATAGAGATAGATAGATAATACATTTCTAATAGTTTCTATTCCGTTTTGTAACTAACTGTCTTAGCTGTCAAGTGGTTATCTTAGCTGTCGAGTGGTTAGTGATACTAGCCTATATATAGCTACCTACTGTATTATCATTGAGATCAAGAAATACAAAATCAGATTTCTTTCAATTTCTTTCTTTCCTGTATTCTAACACACCTAACCCGATAGTGCTGGGCGTGGGGGGTGTAATGGGAAAAACCCAATAGCTTTCAACAATTATTGAGTCATATGTTTGTGATAATTTTGCTTACAGTTTTTTTTCCATTAACTTATAGATGGTAGAGGAAGCTGGTGGCACAGTTTCTCGGATGGATGGAGGAAAATTTTGTGTTTTTGATAGATCTGTTTTGGTTTCAAACGGTGTGCTCCATGGAAAGGTCAGTCTCTGATTTTGCTATTGGGATATGTTTAAGTTGCAACTTTTTTTAGTTATGAATTTGTGGTCCATTTCAACTGCTCTAATGAATTTTATTAACATTTTATAAATATTTGCTACGGGCTACTTTATCCTTTCCTTAATTCATCTTAGTCAACAACCTTGCAAATTGATACCTAAACAAGTTTCTTCATTAAAAGGTAGCTTCTGTGAATCTGTAAGTTACTCATATTTGACGATAACAACTAAAATGTTTAACGCAATTCAAATATGTGGTCAAATACATTCATTGGAGGATGAATGAATGAATATAATAAGATATCACAATGTAAATACATTAACCGCAACTTTCAAAGTTTAAAGGTACTTAAGATACATTAATCATTCAAAACGTGTTTAAATATACATTATTTTCCAATATTCAACACACACATAAACAAAAAAAACCCAGTTTAATCACCCTTCCCGCCATCTTGTTTTGTTGAGGCCTCCGAACAGCGTAGCCTTGTCGCCACCACAAGCGTAGCCATGTTTTGTTTCTTGTTTCAATCTCACAACAGTGTCTCTTTTTTTTCTTTTGTTCAAAATACAATGGCAGATGAATGAAAAAGAAAACGACAGTGCTTCCGGCGGCGACGGGGCTATGTAACTCCACCACAAACTTGACTCCATCAACCCCAATCAAACACGATAATTTACAACCAGCCGCATATCTCACATCCTTTGCTTCATATGTGTAACAATCATGTTTTGGAGTCATATTGTTAATTTTGGAATTTTGGAATAAACTCATAGTTTTCATTATGATTTGGAATGTACAAAACAACATTATATATATTGTTAAAGTAACAAACTGTTTAGTAACAAACTAAACAGAATTGTAACAAACTATAACAAACTAAAACTAACTGTTTAGTAATAAACTAAACAGTATTATTTTCTTCATGTAATAGCCCCCCACAAGCTGGACTATGAATGTCAAATAGACCAAGCTTGGAAACAAGAGAATCGAAAGAGGGAGCTGCCAAAGGCTTGGTGAGAACATCTGTCAGTTGAGCAGCAGAAGAAACTGGTAAAAGATGGATGAGACCAGTTTGGATTTTCTCACGAATAACGTGGCAGTCAATTCCGATATATTTTGTCCGTTCATGAAAGGTGGGGTTGTGAGCAAGGTAGATAGCACTTTTGTTGTCACAATAGACTGAGCTAGGTTGATCGAAGGAGATGTGGAGATCCTTGAACAAATACTGCAGCCATTGCAATTCACAAGTCAAGCTTGCCAATGCCCTGTATTCTGCCTCTGAACTGGATTTGGATACTGTAGACTGTTTTTTGGATTTCCAGGATATGAGGGAATTGCCAAGGAACACACAATATCCAGTTACGGATCTGCGGGTAGCAGGGCAACTTGCCCAATCTGAGTCTGCGAAGCCAGAGAGTTTGAGTGGAGAGGAAGATGAATAGAACAAACCCTTGGCAGGAGCACCTTTGAGATACTTGAGTACTCGAATTGCTGCAAAATGATGAACTTGCATAGGATGTGAGATGAATTGGCTGAGCTGTTGAACGATGAATGCAAGGTCAGGTCTGGTGGTAGTCAGATATAGAAGTTTTCTAACAAGCCTTCGATAAGCTGTGACGTCTTCGAAAGGTGGTGAGTTATCATCATGAAGCTTCAAGGAGGAATCGACGGGAGTAGAGCAAGGTTTAGTAGCCAATAAGCCACTGTCTTCGAGCAATTCCAAAGCGTACTTTCTCTGATTGAGAAAAATGCCGTGAGTGGATCTGGCAACTTCTAGACCAAGAAAATATTTTAGCCTACCAAGGTCCTTGATTTTGAAAGTGGAATCAAGGAAGCATTTGACATATTTGATTTCCTGCAAATCATTACCGGCTAAGACAATATCATCAACATAGACTAATAAAACAGTAAAAGAAGAGTCATGTGATTTTGTGAAAAAAGAATGATCAGCAGAAGAATATGAGTAGCCAAGAGAGATAAGGGCAGTGGACAATTTCGAAAACCACTGTCTGCTGGCCTGCTTCAGGCCATATAGTGACTTATGCAATTTGCAAACTTCGTTGGTCGAAGGAGTGCAAACTTCGTTGGTCGAAGGAGTGCAAACTTCGTTGGTCGAAGAAGTGCAAACTTCGTTGGTCGAAGGAGTGCAAACTTTGTTGGTCGAAGGAATGCAAACTTTGTTGGTCGAAGAAGTGCAGACTTCGTTGCTCGAAGTGCAAACTTTGTTGGTCGAAGAATTAGGAAGCATGAATCCAGGAGGCAGATCCATATACACTTCCTCATGTAGATCACCATGAAGGAAGGCATTGTTGACGTCAAGTTGTTCCAAGTGCCAATTCTTAATGGCAGCCACTGAGAGAAGGGTTCGAATAGAAGTAAGCTTCGCAACAGGTGAGAAAGTGTCGAAATAATCCACCCCCTCCAGCTGAGTATATCCTTTCGCTACTAAACGTGCCTTGTATCGTTCGATGGATCCATCAGCATGATGCTTGATTTTGTAGACCCATTTGCAACCAATCGATTGTTTTCCTGCAGGCAAATCAACAACAGACCAAGTATTTGTAGATTCAAGAGCATCTAACTCAGATTTCATAGCATTGTTCCAACAATCAAATTTGCAGGCTTGTTTATAGGTTTTTGGTTCTGTGAAAGAACTTATGGATAGACAAAATAATTTGTGATCAGGAGTACATTGGCTATAAGATAATACATAAGAGAGAGGGTAGTTAGAGGAACCTGAGTCAGATGCTGGCAGCATGGGGGATAGCAAATTGCAGTGATAATCGGATAGATAAGCTGGAGGTTTACTATTTCGATTGAATTTTCTAGTTGGCACAGGAGGGGAGGGGCAAGGGGAATTGTTAGTGTCATTCGAGGAAGAAGAGAGGTTGGTGGGAGATTCTGGCTGGGGGAGAGAGGTAGGAGAGGAAGGTTCATTTGATGGTGGAGGTGAGTTGGGTGGAATGTTGGTGAAAATATCAGGTGAATCAATCGAAGGAGGGTCAGGAGTAGGAATTATAGGATTAGGTGTAGGTGGGATGGATACAAAAGGGAACACAGTTTCATAAAAGAATATATTCCTTGAAATGTAAAATTCATGTGTGATAGGATCATAGAGAAGGTAGCCTTTTGTGCCTTCCCTGTAGCCAAGAAAAATAGATTTCCTTGCTCTTGGTTCGAATTTAGTGCGATGGTTAAGCAAGGTCGAAGAATAGGCAAGACAACCAAAGACTCTCATATGGCTAAGGCTGGGAGGAATAGAATGGAGTTTTTGGTATGGAGAGTGGTTGTTTAAAAGAGGAGTGGGAAGACGGTTTATAATATGAATGGTATGTTGTATGGAAAGGTGCCAAAGGTTGTGAGGGAGGTGAGAGTGGAAAGAGAGGGCACGGGCAACATTCAAAATGTGTTGATGTTTTCTTTCCACGATACCATTCTGTTGAGGCGTTTCCACACAAGACCTTTGATGAATGATTCCTTTAGAAAGGTAGAAAGTGGTCATGAGAAACTCAGGACCATTATCACTTCGAATGCACTTGAGTTTCTTGTTAAATTGGGTTTCGATAAAGGATATGAAGTGAATTAAATGGTTTCTGGTTTCACTTTTGTTGGCCATAAAAATTGTCCAAGTAAACCTGCTGTAATCGTCTACGAGGGTTAAAAAATACTTGTGGCCACATATCGAAGGTGTGGAAAGAGGGCCCCAAATATCAACATGAAGTAAATCGAAGATGGCAACAGACTTAGTATTACTGTGAGTAAAGGGCAAATGTTTTTGCTTAGCTAAATGGCAAGTGTTACAGGGCTTATGATTGTCATTGTAGGTGACAAAAGGAAATTGAGAGGAAATACATTTGTGTATGTAGGGACTTAAGTGTCCAAGCCTGAGATGCCAAATAGTAGCAGGATCGAATTGGGGAGAGGAGGAGGTGTTGACAGATCCAGATGTGGGAGAGATGGTCTTAGGTGGGGTGGCATCAAGAACATACAATTTGCCAATCCTCCTAGCTGTAAATCCAGTCATCTTGGATTGGGGCAACTGCATAATTTGACAGCAATTAGGAGAAAATTTCACATCATATAAAGTGGAATCAAAAAGAGTGGTGACAGAAATAATATTGACATGAAATGAAGGAAAGTAATAAACATTGTGAAGGACAAGTGAACCACATAGTAAAACTGAACCAACAATAGTTGTAGTGACAGAGTCACCATTAGACATTGTCATAGATTTAGGTGCAATGTGGTATGTGGAAACGAAACTGGCAATGGTATGGGTGATGTGATCAGTGGCACCTGTGTCAATGATCCACCAGTTATGACAAGGAAGATTTGAGGAATTCTTACCAGAGGAAGTATGAGGAGAGGTATTGGACACAGAATTAGCAGTATAAACTGAATTAATCGAGGGAAGTGAAGGAGATTGCAAATTAGATTGTTGGAGGAGCTGCAGAATCTGAGTGTATTGTTCTTGAATTGTAGACAAAGCACTTGGACTGGTGTTTGATGTGGATGCAGCATCTTGAATCGAATTCACTGTAGAATCAGCAGAATTCCCCACAGATGTAGTAGGCTTGCGTTGTTGAAATCCAGGGGGATAGCCATGTTTCAAGAAGCAAGTCTCAATGGTGTGATTGGTGCGGTTGCAATGGGTACAAAGTCTGTTTCCACGGCCACCACGGCCACGACCACGACCAGTGTTGTGAGAAGAACGAGAAGGTGTTTGAGAAAGGTGATTCACAGATGATTGAGACTCAATCGAAGAAGTAGAAGGTGAAAGAAGGTCGAATTGACGTTCTTGTTGAAGAACCAGATTAAACACATTATCAAGAGTTGGTAGTGGTTTCATCAGCATAATCTGGGATCGAACATTAGCGTATTGGTCACCAAGGCCCTTCAAGAACTTGATAACTTTATCTTGTTCTTTGAATTTGCGTAAGTCTGAAGCAGCACCACAGGAGCACGGTATAGCGCAAGTA